AGATAGATAGATAGATAGATAGATAGATAGATAGATATAGATGGATAGACAAGTCAAACAGACAAAAAGGAGATGACATTACCAGTTGGGTCTGGGCTTCCTGTAGAAGGCCTCTGAACTCTTGCATAGATGTAAAATCCTGTTCCAGTTGGCTGATGCGCTGGCTAGCATGTGCACGGAAAGCCTCCAGTACTGCCTCTGCCTGTTTAGGGAAAATGTTGCAAGGACTTGGTGTGTAACAAGAAAACAGCACAGAAGACCATAACTATAAAGTCCCCAGTAGCTCTTAATTCTGTCTCTTCTGTCTCAAGTCATTCCTACAGAACCTTGGAGTCCTTCCGCATCCAGAAGTTGCCAGCCACCTTACCGCATCTTTGCCGTGAAGGGCCATCTCCTCTCTGTGCTTTGCCTCCTCCCTTTCTGTTCTGAGGCTCTGGAGCTTTGCCCTCAGTTTCTTCAGTACATGAGAACAGGAGGAAACCAGGGTTTCTGCACGCCGAGACTACAAAAGAAGAACGAGATGCTATGTTTTGTGCCTTGTTCTTAGCTTATGGTCACCTACACGATGCTTACCTCCTGACTCACTGTCATTCTGTCTTCATTCATGTGTGTCAGGGACAGGTGAAGCAAAGATATCAGTTCTCTAGAGACTAACATCCATGATTGCTGTAGAAGAAAAGATAGCAAGGTTAGATCAAAGATAGTCATTAAGTAAGATGAAGAGACATTGCAGGGAAAAAGCTACTGATCCCCCAGTTCCAAGTTCTTAATAATGAGACATTCTTGACAGAGGTTTGAGATCTTCCCTTCACTGCCACAGCTATGGCTCACCATCTACTAACTACCCAGGATCCTCCATCTTTTAACTTCACAAGGGCCCCCAGTGGTATAAACTCAACCAACACTTACCATGACACTCCTGGCTTGCAGCAGAGCCTGTCTAATCTCTTTGCTGTCCTGAAGATGTTTAGGTGTCTTAGTGACCTAGCCAAAGAAATAATTGCTCTTTTTAGCTGGATAACATACACCAGCAGCCTCTAATCTCCATCCTGCCAGTGACTTTCATATGAGATGGAAAAATTAGGCTCACAATCAGATGAAGCCAAGAGAGAAAGAAAAACCTAGGGGGAGCTGGCGATAATGTTAATTGTGCTTGCTTTCCAAACATAAGGGCCTGAGCTTGACTACTCTTGTAAAAAGTCCATGTAAAAAGCTGGGAGTGGGGCTAGAGAGATGGCTCAGTGGTTGAGAGCTGCTCTTGATGCTGTTATAGAAGACACAGGTCCAGTCCCTAGGACTTGGCTTGGTACCAAGCACTGAAACCAAGTGGCTCACAACTGCCTGTGTCTCCAGATCCAGATGACCAGATGCTTGATTCTGACCTCTGCAGACACATGTAGACATATGGTGTACTGTACACATACTCAAGCACACACACATACACATAAATGATAAATAAATCTTTCTTTTTAAAGCAGGATGCAAGCCGAGTGGTGGTGGCACACACCTTTAATCCCAGAGCTTGGGAAGCAGAGGCAGATGGATCTCTGAAGGTTTGAGGCCAGTCTGATCTACAAAGCAAGTTCCAGGACAGCCAGGACTGTTACACACAGAAACTCTTTGGTTGGCAAGGGATGCAATGGTGTGCCTTTAATCTCAGTGATGGAAACTGGTAGATCTCTGAAAGCTCAAGAGGCAGTGGGTCTAGCCTATATGACAAAGTTCCAGACCAATGTGAAAACTGGAATATCTTAAAGAAAAATATGAAAGATGCCTGAGGACTGACACCATAAATACTGTGACCTCCACACATACAGTGCATGCATACACACACACACATGTGAATTTGAGGCCAGCCTAGTCTACAGAGTGAGTGCCAGGACAGACAGGGATACATAGAGAAGAAACCCTGTCTCAAAAAACAAACAAACGCCCCCCAAAAAGCCATAATAAAACCAGGGTATATTAGCTAAAATATAAAATAAGGCAGGAGTCAGAAAGACGGTTCGGCAGCTAAGAAAGCAGGAGTTCAGTTTCTAACATGCCCTTGGAGGCTTACAACCATCCATGATTACAGCCATCCATGATTCCAGGTCCAGGGCATCTGGCCCCCTCTTCTGGCCCCCATGGGCACCAGATGCACATGTGGTACATATACATACATGCAAGCAAAACATACACACAAAATAAAGATTTTTTTCTTTAAAAATTGTGGCTAGGAGGCTGGAGAGATGGCTCACAGGTTAAGAGCACTGACTGCTCTTCCCGAG